AAGGCTAATACAGTAAATACACATTAACACTGATGGCCAGAGGCACTTACTTTCAAATGTCAAGTTTCTACTTCTGATTCGGTATAATTTCGATTTTGACTTTTAGTTGTGATTTTTTGTCAAAATATAGGGGTAAGAGGGGAATATCCGAACCAAACCATAGGTTTCGTGCACATAGATGATGTCGTAAATGCTCATATTTTGGCAATGGAAGAAAGTAAGGCGTCGGGTAGACTCATATGTTCCAACTCGGTCATACACTGGTCAGAGATCATTGAGATGCTAAGGGCGAAATACCCATCATACCCTTACGAGAACAAGTAAATCGCCAAGTATTTCTTTTTAGAGATATATGATATGATATTAGCTTTCAACTCAAAACATGTTGCGAGTATGAGGATGAGGTTAGTTTGGTCCTTTTGCAGGTGTGGGAGTCATAAAGGAGATAACAATCCACATAGCATGGACTGTAGCAAGATCGTCAAGTTGGGCCTCCCTCCTATGAAAACATTGGACCAAATGTTTGATGACTGCCTTGCAAGTTTTCAAGAAAAGGGCCTTCTTTAGTACTAGCTTATAATAGAATAAAGTTCCTAATTATGTTCAATATTCTTGCATGTAACCTTCTGTTTAGTAGAATAAACCTACAAAACACCCCTTTTTTATTGTGTAATTTGACGGAATGTATTCATATTGGAAATTAACAGCATGCCCTTAGTTAATACCTTTTTGTGCTGGACCAAATTCTGTGAAAGTGTATGAGCTGCTGGGCCGCTTGTAATGGGCTATCTGGGTTGTACTTTTGGAGCAAAATGGGCTTCTTCGCTTCTCTATGCGACTGTAAAATTGGGTCCGTACGTGCCAATGCATGGCCGCACTCCAGTGCCGGCTCTACCCCTTACAAAAAATATATATTATTATATATTTTATAACGACACTTGTTGCTTGTGCGACTTACAGGTGTTATATTATAGTAATTTTTGTAACTTATATCATATAACTATTTGAAATATAAATATATTAATTGATAAATACTTTTATTTTTCTAATTAATATTAAAAAACAATTTTATTATTGTTATAAAGATAAATATAATTTATTTATTTTTTATACATACAATATGGATGTTAAATCGAAGCTCATCAAGAGATGATTAATTTGATATATTACATATGTAAAATGGATAAAAAATACAAAAGTTATTAACTCTTAAAATATATTTACAATTTAATGGTTATAATAAGAAATAATATTAAAATACAATTAATACATGTAATATGACCATAAATAATCAACATATTTATGGATAATCCGAACCTAATTATTTTTAGAAATAAATTAAAGTCTACCAAAGCCTAATGGCATTAGTACATTATTAAAAATATATTATTAAAAATATATTATTTTATTTTTATATATTATTAAAAAAGATTTTATATATAATTTATTAAAAGTACATTATTTTAAAAAAAAACTTTTATTTCTTTTTATAATAAAAAATGATAATGTCATTCCATTCAAATCCTATTATTCTGCATACCAAACGCATTAATGACAAAATTTGTTTCATTCTATTCTCATAATCATTTAATTATTCAATTCATTTCATTCCTACGAAATTTAATTCCATCATACCAATATGTCAGTAGTGTTTAATATAATAACTACCTAAATAGTTTTTATCTATGTATTCACATTTAATTTAGGATTGAAAAGCTTGAGCGAAATTAACAGTAAATTTTTTTAATAAAATTATATAATACATTAATGTGTGATATTTTATAAATTTTTGTTTTAAACTTTATTTATATTTATGGTTCATATGTTCTTTGATGAAATTCCGTATATATGCACGGGGGATCAGGGATGTGTATTAGTGTGCAGTAAATTTAAAATATTATCTTGAAGTAGAAAATGTCGTTCAGTTATATTTCAACCTGGCCCTACCAAATGACTTTTTTTTTTTTTTTTCTCTCATATGTCAACATTAGTATTTAAAAGTAAGTAAATAAATTATTCACCTTCTCTATTTTAAAGTATTAGAGACCGACAATGATGCGGGAGCCAATGGAAACAAAGTCGGCCCTTGATAGCGGAATTAAACTTAGAGAATTAATTTATGATTAGGTATATATACAAGCAAGATCAGGAAGTTAAAAGCGAAAAAATCAACAGATTTTGAGTTGTTATTTCTTTGTATCAATGTGTGGTGTGCATTTACTTTGGACATGTTCCATGTCCGACATTTGAATGACTTTGTTAAAAATGTTGCTCTATCAAGGGACCAAATCAATCAACTCAACTATTGTTACTCGAGATTCTAGACACCATCTACCGTATTTTCATTTGATGCATGTTTTAATGAGTATTAATTAAAATTCGGTAGACCAAATAACATATATTATATTTAATTATAGTACAGCTATTAAGTAATTCAAATTAGTCAATATTTCGTTCAGGACCAAAGTCTACAACTTTGTTATGAATGGGATTGGTAACATTTTGTATGAAGCCCGACCACAGTTCTCAATCATGTTATGTAAAGCTCCAATTGATTTATATTCAATACAATATATACAATATGAATTTATAAAATAGTTATCCTAAAGCATAAAACTCATTATCATGCTAGATTATGGATTATAAGAATTGTGAGAGATATGTGATCCAATGATGTTGAGTTTTTAGATGTGGATTATTAATCTATGGATCAGATCAACATGAAAGTCACATCAATCATGAACACGGCTTCGATCATGAATACATACTCAATCACGAACAACAAAAAAGAGCCACGAGTGGGGATTAGTATTATGGTCTTCCTTGACTAAATCTCTTTATATATCTTCGTTTTAATTCTTGATGGGAAGAATATAAAACTATGTTTAATTTATTATATTGTGGACCATAACCAATAGGTCTTTATATACCATTGAAGTAGGCTACTCATAATCATCTACTTAATTTATGAAGTGTACGGGGGAGCATATGAGTGCAACTTAATGTAGCAACACAAAATAAAATGTAGAGCGATTTAAACAAAATTATCTTCAAGAAGTCTCTCGCTTCCCCCATAACTCTTTCACTAGAAAATGATTGTGCAGAGCAGGCATAGTGTAGTATAGATTACGAGACTAGAACTCCCTTATAATCTAACTGTCTCTATACTCCACTTCCCTAGTTACTTTTCTGACAAACTTGTGGACTTTAAAACCTATAGTTGATCCCTTCACAAATACAAGAACATGTATTCTAAGTGTCGTAGTAAAAAGATAAAAAGAAAGATGTCAATCTTGCAGTATGTAAGAACAAGAACTGAAAGCTAGAATAAAACTACAAAATAAAATCAAAACTAAGTTCTCATAAACTCTCAGAAAAACTCAGCATATCTCGAGCTCTCTTTCTTAATTGATTCAATACAATGGTGAAGAATTCTGAATATATATGCACCCTTATTTGGTCATGGGTCTTTAGAATCTTCATTGTTAGTAAGTTTTCTTCATTGCCAGGTCTTCAAGCTCTCAAGAATCACCTTTAGTTTGGAAGGTCCAAAGTCATGTGTGAACACGATTTTCCTTAATTGTGAGATTAGGCGGATCTTGTACTAGTTGTTCCATAAATCCATTATTCTCTTTCCATAAATCGCGTCCAGATCCTCTTCATGTTTGTTCTTACACTAAATTAGAAAACAAATCTAAAATATATCTAACTTAGTATTCAACAAATAAAACATAAAGGAACTTAACAAATAAGTTAATCTTTCCTTATTTTGTCTTGCTTCTTTTTCAAGTGACCTACTACGAATATAATTAAATACAAAAAATTATTTAAATTATGCCAATTCAAAATCCTAACAATCTCATCCTTTGGAATTGAGTTTGAAACTCTATTTTCTATAGTCACAAAAACAAGTTAAGCCTAGAGCAAGATCAAAATGAGGTCAAATTAATCATGTAAGAACACCACTCAAAGTTCCTATCCAAAATAACAGATCAAAGTCAACCATTCCCTGCAACAAAGCAAATATCCATACACACAATACTACTGGTAATCATCAAACACAATATCCTAAGGCATGAAGAATAACACTCAATTCTTACATCCTGCAGAAAACACAAAATGCAATTGTGCAAATGCCATAAACCAAGCCATAAAACAAACCTACTATTCAGAAACACACCCAAAAGCAGATAATTATTTGTTACACAATAATTGTTGGGGCTTGGTTAGAGACTTTGAATTTATGCAAGTCACGAAATGTCTAAACCTAAGTATAATGGAACTAGAGTTTGGGTTTGAACACCTATGGTTTAAAATTTTCCCAGACACTCTACTGACATACACGACCCCATACGGTTTTGAGATTAATCCTCTTTCTCACTTGATCGTCTCGCCTAGACCTGGCATCATTTTTCGTCATTAGTCGTTCACGATCACTGTGTCATGCCTCATGGATGTACTAATGGCATCTCTCATAGCTAAAACCCAGATGGTCGATCCAAATCATCTAAGGGTTTTCGGACCTTGAATGGGTTGTTGGTGGTTGCCGATGGTCGTTGGTGGCAGCTGGTGGTCGTTGTCGTACGCTAGTAGGTTGCTGGCGTGCTGCCTGGGCGTGGCCAGTATTGGTTGTGCTAGCTGCGAGTCGCTGGGTTTCGCCAGGACGTGCGACTATTGCGCCACGCGACAATGTTGCTGGGGACGCTGGTGTGCGCACGCAAAGCACGCACAACCATCCCGTGGCCAGACCAATTTGCGCGAGTGTTACACGTGTTGTCTGTCTGCGAGGTCGTTGACCCTGTCGCGCACTAGCATGATAGTCAATCATGTGGCGCGACGCAAGCCCACTAGAACGTTGGACCGAGCGCAAGGCCAGTCTAAGTCACATTCGGATATGGTTTTGTTCAGCACATGTGCTTAAGGCTGACGCTAACAAGTTATAACCTCGAATAGAAGTACAACTATTTGTAGGCTATCCTAAGAAAATGAAAGGCGGCTTATTTTATAGTGACAAAGATAATAAGGTCATAGTTAGCACGAATGCTTAATTTTTGGAGAAAGACTATGTTATGAATCACAAGCCCACGAGTATAACAGTCCTAGAGAAATTAGGTGATAGGGCAATTCATTTACCACTTATGCAATATGATATTCCACATGTAACTACACCCCGTGTCACACAAGAGACCTTTGACGATAGTACCCCGTCTTGGTGAGACGGTTGCTCGTCAGCCCGATAGGTTCATGTTCTTGGGAGAGTCTTCTGACTTGGTCCCAAGTGAACAAGAACCGGATCTCTGGACCTATGATAAGGAACTCCAAGACAAGGATGCAGATTTTTTGAGATTAGTGATGAAATCTTAAATCCAGTTAATGGAGTCGAATAAGGTCTAGGAACTTGTGGATCCACCAAATGGTATAAAAGCCATTAGGTATAAATGGGTCTACAAAATAAAGAGAAGATCAGACAGTAATGTGGAAACCGTTAAGATGACGCATGTTGCGAAAGAGTACACTCAAAAAGAGGGAATTGATTACCAATAGGGGTGGCTCAAGTGGTAAGCAGCTTAATGTCGCTTAAGCAAGGTCTCAGGTTCGAGTCCTTGTGGATGCAAAAAACCCTTGTTGGGAGACTCACCCACCACTGCCAAGTGTGCGACCCGGGTTGACCAACGGAGTAGTCGGGGCATAGCTCCAGATACCGTGGCTGGCTACCACAAAAAAAAATAAAAGGGGAATTGATTATGAGGATACCTTTTTGCCGGTACCCATGCTTAAATCTATCCGGATTTTTATGTCCATTGCTATTCATAAGGATTATGAGGCTTGGCTACATGGATGTCAAGACAA